CGGTATTTTACATGCGGAAGGCGGAAACAGATTAATACATACAGTAAGATATACGATGATAACGTAACGCGGTAGCTTACATACGGGACGCGGGTGATTATGTACGGAACGCGGTATATTACATGCGGGTCGCGACTGTAGCTATCCGAACGCTGTATATGATGCACGGGTAAGATAGCGCGGTAAATTGCATCGGAGGATGGCGGAATCCCGGGATCACGGTTGTGAGAACCCTCGCGGCGAGGCCGAGCACGCTCGACCCCGCGGTACCGTGGTTGTCGGGGTAAGTATCAGGGAGCTCGGGAACACTCTGAGAACCCTCAGTCGAGAACCAGAACTCTGGACCTCGTTGTGCGTGTTGCCCTAGGAGTTGGAAGGTATCTTCGTCAGGACTGGCGGAAAGCCGTGGTAAAGACGAAGTGTCTTTTTCGTCGAGCGCGCCGGCTTTTTATACCGCTCGGCGCGGTGAGCTTGGCAGGAGGGAAGCCGATCGTCAGGCGACGGTGCTGTGGTGGGGAGCGGCGCGATCCCGCGTGCTCGCTTCGGCGGGGATCGGCTTGCTTCGGCGCTCGTCGGCGTCGTGCGGGAGGGCACCGGTGCGGCGGATTTCCCGCGCACACGGTGCGTTTCAAGTATTTAAAAAAGGTGGGCGCACCGCGCCCTGTGCACGCCCGACGGGGAATCGGTCGGGCGGCTCCCGGCGGGTAGTAGCCGGGGACGATGCGTTGTCATAAGGGGTGCATCGTTACACAATTAAATTATTCATTTATGCAACGTATAATAGACATATTAATTTTCGTTTTATTTCTTACTCTATTTTTCCGAAAATATCCATACATATAGATATATCATACACACGGTCTTGTATATGTCGTAGGCAAATGGTTATTTTAGGAAAATAGCTTCTGACTAGGCAAATGCTATCTGCCAGGCCAAATAGCTTTCACCATTTGTTCTTGCTATTTTCCTAGTCAAATGCTATTTTCCTAGGCAGATGCTATTTGATTGAACCGCTGTTAGGCAAATGGTATTCTACGAAGCATGCATTGGTGCACTTCAGTCTTTGTTTTGTAAGGTTATGTTACGGTCGTTCTGCGAGGTGTTTCAAGCAGTTAGGTCTCACGCTGGGAGTTTCATTAGTTTAACAAAGTAAAGGGGTTTCAGGTCACTCGGGACGGGAGACTGATTGCGGGGGTAATGGCGACCTAAGTAACCCAGGATCCCCTCTCCAGAGAACAAAGACCCCCGAGAAAGAAGAAGGAGGTAAATAAGGGCCTTCGAAATCCAGAGCCGATAGTGGCGATGGATGTGGATACGGTGATAAAGATCCCTCCGCCAGGACCGTTCGTAAATGAAACGGACAAGAAAGAGGCCACACCAATGGCGGTAGACAGGGAGGACGAAGCGGGGGATACCGCCCTGCCAAACGACAGTGAGAAGGATGGATTGGGGGAGAACCCCCACCAAATAACGAAGAGAGGGACGGATCGGAGGATCTCTGGCCGGGTTACTTGTAAATGGCCCTAAAGATCCTGCAATCTAACCTGAACCACGCCCGCGCAGCCCAGGACTTATTCTGTCAGGCCCTGGCAGAGCGTGGGTGTGGTTTGGGGATCGCGGCGGAGCCCTACCGCATCCCTTAGGATCACCCCTGTTGGGTGGGGGATAACGGGGGCTCCGTCGCGATCACATGGAAGACTCTGCCGGCGTCCCCCCCGTGCACGTTTAGTAAAGCCGGGGTAGGGTACGTGGCGGTAGACTATGGACCCATTTCCGTGATGGCGGTATACGCCCCTCCGAGTTGGACCCGTGCCGAATACGGGCGACTACTGTCAGATTTTAAGGATTACGTTTGCGGTTGCTCGTCTGCCCGAATGTTAATAGCGGGGGATTTTAACGCAAAGTCAACGTTATGGGGTCCCCCGCAAACGAACTGAAGGGGCACCATCACCGAGGCGTAGGCGGTGGGACTCGGCCTGATATTGGTAAATTCGGGCCGAGAGAGCACTTGCGTGCGGCGGCAGGGGACATCGGTGGTGGACCTGACTTGGGCCACCCCCCCCTGTTGCCCGCGAAATACGCAACTGGAAGGTGGTTACGGATCAAGAGACCTTATCCGATCACCTCTATATCGAAATGACGGTCCGTGCCACCCCAGGGGTGCTCACCAGTCGTCGCTGCGACGACGCCAGACGGAAACGGAGATGGGCCATAAAAAAGATAGATCGGACCTATTTGGTGCTGCGATATTGGCCCTCAATTGGGGGCAAAAGAGGGAAGGCGAGACGGAGGAGGAGGGGAAATTGGACGACGAGGTAGAGGGCCTGGTTAGAACAGTAACCAAGGCCTGCGACGTGGCCATGCCGCGTCTTCGTCCCTTCCCTCCTCGCAAATGCGCCTACTGGTGGACCGAGGAGTTAGCCAAGTTCAGGCGTTCCTCGGTCCGCGCGAAGAGAGCGTAGAGAAGGGCACGCGCCGGGAGGCGCGGCCCGACTGTGGAGGAGGCCGGGGAGGCTTGGCGTGCCGCCCGCCAAGACCTCACCCGAGCCATACAAGCGGTCAAGGAGCGTGCCTGGAAGGAGCTTCTCGACGACGTAGAGGAGGATCCGTGAGGGCACCCATACAAGTTGGTTCAGAATAAGCTGAAGCCTTGGGCGTCCCCACTCACGGAAACACTCGACTCCCCATTCGTGGAAGAGGTTGTCGGCACTCTCTTCCCCCGTGACAACGGGAGAGAGGTAAAGTTCCCGACGATGCCGAAGCTAGAATGGAGGGAGGAATGGGGGTGGATGGAGACGAGTTGTCGAGGGTTCTCCGCAGGGTCAGGAGGGGCAAAGCTCCTGGGCGTATCTTTTGACGTTAAAAACGCCTTCCACTCTCTCCCCTGGCCCGTGATCATGGGGGTCCTGCTAGACTTTGGGGTCCCCATTGATCGAGGTCGTCCGAGATTACTTCACGGACAGAGGGTTATCGTACACGGACCGGGACGGAGTCCCGTGGACCAGGTTGATGGAATGTGGGGTCCCGCAGGGTCCGTGATAGGACCCCTGCTTTGGATCATAGGGTACAACATGGTCCTCGGGACGCCTCTCCCTAGTGGGTGCTGGCTCTCGGGTTACGCGGACGACGTGTACCTGGGAGTCAGCGGGGAGGGGTGGCGGGAGCTTTACAAGCTGGCCAACGTAGCAGCGGCGAGCGTGGTGCGCTCCATCGAGAGACTGGGCCTTAGGGTGGCCCCGCAAAAAACACAAGCTACTTTTTTCTATAACAAGAGGGGGGAGCTTAAGCGGGGTCCACCGCCGGAGTGACTCAGTCTCCGAGTAAGAGGTGTCAAAATCCCGACCACTCCCCAGTTAATATATCTGGGAATGTGGCTGGACAGCGAGAGGGACTTCGGCGAGCACGTCGCCCGCGTGGCCCTAAGAGCCAAGATAATCGCGAATAACTTGTCTCGACTATTGCCGAATCTTGGCGAGGCCAGTGATCGAGTGCGTTGCCTCTACACGGCGATGATCCATTCAGTACTAATGTACGCCGCCCCTGTGTGGTGGAAGAAAGTAGGAGACTCCAACCTACGCAGGGGCAGGATGGAGGCCGCACAGCGGGTCATCGCGAGGTCAGCCGCGAGGGCGTATAGGACCGTCGCCCATGTGGGGGCGACCGCCGTGGCGGGGATCTCCCCTGTGCATCTGATCGCGAGGGCGCACTCCAAGGTATATGACCGGGTGCGCGCTATTCGCGAGGAACAGGGGCAGATCACACCCAGGGCTAGGACAGCGCTGATAAAGTAGAGACTAGAGATATAAAGAGTAGATGCGAGAAATTAACTAAATTCTAAGAGAATTAGAGAATAGATGTGCAATAGAAAAAGAGGAATAGAGAATAAATGTGTGATAAAAAGAGATAGAAAGATGACGCTTGGTAACAAGCCGGCGATGTGCGCGTGCAAGTCCGATCGTGAACGGCGAGAGTCATTTTTTTGGCGCGAGGAAGTCCGATCGTGAACGGCGAGAGTCTTTGTTTTTGGCGCCAAGAACTTGTTGCCGGGCACGCGCTGACGCATGATCGATTAGAAAAACATAGCATCGATGCGACACCATGACATATATGTATATACATGCATGTGTATGGAATTATTTTTCAAAATCGACATGCATCGGGTCGGTGATCAAGCATGACTTGCAGTGCGGTGTAGCTTGATTGCTGTTTAGGGAGGCTGCGTAAATCTGTACGAGTCCCGTGCGCGTGCGTGATCAACCCAATATCCTATAAATTTTTTCAGCAGTGCTGGAGATCGCACGGGATAGTGGTGTGCGTGTGCGGATGGCTCTGCAGAAGCGCGTGGTTTCTCGCTTTCAGATCATTATGAATTGCAGTGCGTTCTGTATGGTCTTGTAAGCAATAAATAAGTTTTATTGTTGAGAAAAACTTGACGATAAAATTATAAATTTTATAATATCAATATATTAGATATTGAATTTATTTTGAAAAAGAATATTATTTATATCGGATTGATATTTGAAATCCTGATATAGATGGATAGAGCTAGACGAGACAAAGGATGCGTAGAAGAGGACTAGAATCTCCTGGTAGATTAGAAGGTTATATATAGCACAGAGACAGTAATAAAGAGAAAAATGATAGAAGAAAAAGGTAAGAGAATATTGTTCAAAAAGTAAAATAGAAGAAAAATTAGAAGGTTAGAGATAGCAAATGTGTAAGTATAAGTGTTCAAGGATAAAATTAAAATAATAATCTGAACATTTACACAGATATAGAGAAAGAGAAAGAGCTAAAGACACGAGGGGCCACTTCAAAACCAAAAGAGAAGCCCCGAATCACAGAAGAAATTCGATTGCCGAGATTTGTGGGAGAGGATAGACCAATTCTTCCGATTGGTAGTAAGATTCTGTATGAACAACAAGAAAAACTCATCGCGAGAAATGAGGCGATGACTGGAAAATTAAAGACCACATTCAAAACCTTGGAAAGGGTGATGACGCAGGCGAATTCTATGATAGAGAATATGGTGCGAGTTTCGGAAGCTAATTTAAAGAGTGAAAGACTGAAACATAAACGGTTAGAGGTAGATAACGATAATATACAAAATTTAGAAGAAAATAATCTTGAAAAAATTATTGAAATACAAAAAGAACCGAAAAAGAGAAAAGTAGAAAAAGCAATCTGCTCAGCCGAAATTAGAAATAAAAGTAGAGATTTAGAAGCATTTAAAAAAGCGATAGAAATTGATTTAAATAATCAGAATCTACATATTAGAAGAGAGTATAAGCTTACGCAGAAATCTAACTTTGATCTCTGGATGGATTATTTAAAGTCAGAGTTAATGAACAATGATTTGCTAAATGTAATAGATGCAAGTATAAAAGGTCCAGAAAAACTTTCGGAATTAAAAATCGCTAAAAGAAAAGGTTTTGTTAGAGATATCATAATTAATCATATAGATGAAAATTATCATAAGAGAATTTTGCATGAAAAAGATCCATCAGAGATTTTAAAGAAATTAAGAGGATATAAGAAGAATGAAATAAATGTAACTCATATATCTGTAAGAGCTCGTCTCTATCAGATTAAAATGAAGAAAGCTGAAAAAGTAAATAATTTTTGCGAACGTTTTGATTCTACAGTTAGAGAATATGAATCATGTGAGGATGCAGTGCCTCTCACAGAGCAAGAAATCAGATCGTTATTCTATCAGGCGGTAGCTTTTAATGTATCAGAACTGAGGAATGCCGATTTGATCAGAAGACAAACAACTCAAAAAGAAATGAATATTGATGAAATAAAGTCATTTATTACGCAGTTAGAAGCAGAAACAAAGAGTATAGAGAAAGAGCAATTAGAGAAAACCAGAGGCTAGAGCACAGAGAGCGAAATTAGAAGCAGACGGAAAACCTGTAAAGTGCTACCGGTGCAATAAGCTAGGACATATGGCTAAGGACTGCCCGCTCATTGAAACAGGAGCTTGGTTCTGTTACCATTGCCAAGAAGTTAGAGGTCACAAAAGAGACGATTGTCTAAACGCCGGAGCACAGGCTGGAAGATTTAGAGGAAAAAAGTATAAAAATAAAACTTTTAATAAAAAAAAAAAAAGCCGAACAGACAAGCACCAAAAGAGTAAATAATAGAGGAAAGATAGTTAAACTAAACAACAACGCTCAAGCAAGGAAAGCAACAATAACCGCCACAGCTAAAGAAGATAAATCAGAATCAGGTACGATTAGATTAATAAAGAGTAGAGATAATTCATAAGAATTAATTAATTTTATAGCAGATTCGGGAGCAACCGATCATATTGTTAATAAAAGTGTGATTCTGTCAAACTTTGAAAGGTGTGAAAATCAGATTATCAAATGTGCGAATAAAAATGAATTTGCAAATATTGTAATAGACGGTAAAGGAGATCTTTTGTTGCGATCGGGAGAAAAAGAAGAGAAAGATATTAGATTAACAAAAGTAATAGCAACAGGAGATGTATCAGAGAATCTACTGTCTTTGAGAAAATTAGCAGAGGCTGGTTTTAGCATTTACTTAGATGATAAGTTGCTTAAAGTATATAATAAACAAACAAATAAAGTAATTTTTGGAGGTAATTATAATAAACCTAATTGGACAATACAATTTGAGATTAAAAATAACAATGTAGAGAATAATAGTAGAGTAGAATGTGCAGTATATAAATGTAGAACAAAGATAGTGTCACATTGTGAGTCCCCTGAACAATCACAGACAAACATTCAAAACAATGAGTTATCAATTTCGGAGGGAGAATTAAAAGAGTATGAAAACGTTGGATCTGCGATTGGGAGGGAGAATGAGGAGGAACTCACAAGTGTGAATGAAAATGTACAGCATGAGACAAGTACAGAACTCAATCAAACGGTTAAATTAGAAGATCTAAAATCGTTAGAGGATATAGAAGAAATGTGCGAAAGTTCAATAATAAAGAAGTAAGAGAAAACAAGAAGAATAAATGAGGCGATGTTATGGCATGTTAGATTGGGTCATGCATCACTAAGCTATCTAAAAAGATTACAGAAATTAGATAAGAGATTAGAGAAAGTAGAGTTAGATAATTCCATATTAGAATGTGAGGTATGTATAACGGCAAAAATAAAAAAACTGCCATTTAGAAAAACAAGAACTAAAGCACAAAGACCACTTCAAGTCATACACACGGATATTATGGGTCCGATAAAACCGACCTCATATCCAGAACAAAAAAGATTTATTATTGTGTTCATAGATGATCATTCTAGATTGGCGAAGGCATACTCATTAAAGACGAAAGACGAATCTGAAGAGGCTTTATAGAAATACCTCATACATGCCAGAAATTTACTAAAAAAAGAAGAAAAACTGTGCTACGTAAAGTCAGATCAAGGCAAAAAGTTCACGGGAGGTGCGTTTAGAGAAGTACTGGAAAGAAAAAAGATAGAAAACATATTTGCGCCACCGTATACTCCAGAGTATAACGGAGTAGCCGAAAGGTTCAATCGAACATTACAAGAGAAAATAAGAATATTTATGTTCGACTCCGGATTACCAAAAAGTATGTGGGAGCTAGCAGTTGACGCTGCTGTGCATGCGTACAACAGATCTCCACACAAAACTATAGAGTATGAAATTCCATTGAAGAAGTTTTCACCAGAGACAACCTGTCATTTAAAACAGCTTAAGAGATTCGGATGCATTGGGTATTTAAAAGAAAATTAGAGGCAAATGGATCTACCAGATTCAAAGCAAGACTTGTGATTAGAGGTTGTAAAAATAGAAAGGTGTATGATCTAAAAGAGACATATGCACCCGTTTCAAGACTGTCACTGGTTAGATCTATATTGGCAATAATAAATAAGTATAACTTATACGCTTGCCAGCTAGATGTTAAGACTGCGTTTTTAGATGAAGTTCTAGAAAAAAAAATATATATGGAGATTCCAGAGGGAGTGGAAGTAGATGACAACATTAAAAAGACCAAGGTGTGTAAATTAAATAGAGCTTTGTATGGATTAAAGATAAGTCCAAAAAGATGGAATAAGAGATTTTCAGAAGAGGCTAAGAAACTTGGATTAGAGAATGACTTACATGAGCAATGCCTGTTCACATGGAGGAAAGAAGGAAAAATGGTAGTAGTACTGCTTTATGTGGATGACATGCTGGTCGCAAGTAATGACTTAGAGAAATTAAAGGAAATCAAAGGCAAATTAGATGAAACATTTGAGACTAAGGATCTTGGAAAACCAAAGACCTCTTTAGGAATCACAATAGAGAGAAATAAAGAAGACAAATATATGAGTATCCATCAAGCACGATATACAGAAAATGTGCTGAAAACGTTCCATATGGAGAAATGTAAACCGCAAAGTACTCCTATGGTCACTAGACAGGTAAGCAATAAAAATAAAAGGAGCAGATTAGAAGAATCGAACAATGAAGATGTGATCCAAAAAGAAGAAATCAAAAGAGTGCCTTATAGAGAAGCTATTGGAAGTTTGATGTATTTAGCAAACGCTACAAGACCTGTGTTTGAGATTCCGTTATCACACTGCGCCATCCGATCAGATGGCAGCATCGATCGGATATCGACGGGCCGGATCGACGCGGCAACTTGCGCAAGCACGGGCGCGCTTATCGCCAACTTCTTCCTCGCGACACACAGAGTCGTACAAATGGCCGCGCAGTAACCAGACGTACGAAGTGTGCTCTGTGCTTCATTCAATTACAGCGAATTGAAGTGTCCACCGCAGTGATTAAAGCTGCCGAGATATTTTAC